GCCTGCAATGTGGCGGCTGGCCGCCCCGCCTCCGCCGTGTGTCTGTTTCATGCGTGCGCCATCTTTTTTCCTAATCAGTTGTGTGAATGGGCATCTGTATGTGCCTGGGGCTTTGAGGTTCCAATCAGTGATTGATGGTGCCTCCACCACGCCTCGCCCTCCCCCCCGCGCCGGCCTCGCGGCCGCCGCCCCTCCCGTGCTGCGCTGCTTGCCGTTGCAGCGGGCGCGTGGGGGGTGAGGGGGGTAGAGGGTTGGGGACGGCGGCTCCGGCGCGCACCTTGCGTGTCGCCCCGACCCTCTTTGCTGCGCGCTTGCTGCGCTTTGTGCCGTGTTGTGCTAGCTTACGTTTCCCCCCCCCCTTTTGTCGCATCAGCAGCTGTCCTGCTCCGCAGCTCCCCCCACCCCCCTCGGCCGGCCGCCCTATTGGCGGGCCCGGGCGAATGCAGGCGCCGGCTGGTGTGCGCGCGGCTCCCAGTCCGGCCGCGCTTGCGTTTTCATTGTGAACTGGCGCTGTAAATAACATCCTACAAGTGCGAGAGGAGCGAGCCAGCAGCAGGCCGCAGCATCAGGCGATCGATCTTGCAGGCTGGCATTTCATTCTTTGGGGGGGGGATCGCAGCTTCGCGTCATGCTGCGGCGCGCCTGTGGAAAAGCTGCCGGCATCATATGCAAACAAAGCACAGCCGAGGCTGCCAGGGTCATTGGCCAGGGTGGTTCTACAGGCAAGGCGCAACCACCGCCGCGGACTCGCCTCCCCACTTCACCAAGTGATGCAGGTTTGCAATGGCCCAGCAGCGCAATGCAATTTCTCCTGATTGGACCTATCGTGTCTGTTTTCTTTGTGTGTGTCTGGGAAGCATGTTCTGCGTGAGTGCATCCTGATTACAGGGGTTAGCAGTGGCAACGAAATGCAGGCAGCACAGCAGAGCAGGCAGGCAGGCAAGTGGCGCGCTCAGTGCACGATCAATCTCTGCCGGGAGCCAGGTGCAAAGCTGCTCGCAGAAACCCGGGGCCGGCCAGCCGCCGCCCAAGAAACAGCTGTTGTGGTTAGTCAACCCTTCCCTTCACTCTCTTGATACGCCACCAGTGCATCACAATTGGGTGGAATGTGTTGAAATCGGTGGTTGTTGCGCTTAAAGGTTTGGTACAAGGGGCAGTGCGACAAAGGCAGGGACAAAGGTCGGACCAAGCGCCGGAAACAGGGAGCAGAGGCTGCCGAGGCTCAACGCGCGCCGCCGCCACCGCCGCTCGGCGGCTTGCGCACGTGCGCGCTTCGCGAAACTCGACACCGTGTGCAGCTGGATGACTAGAGGCCGGCAAAGGTGCTCGCTGGATTGCGGCTGGCCGCTGCCGTCTCTGGTCCCCGCGAAGCGCCTCAACACAATGCCGGCGGGGCAACTGGTGCAGGCACGCGCAAAATTGCGCGCCAACGTTTCCGCTCTCGGCGCTTCTCACACTCTGGAACACAGGGGCAAAAAACACAAGCGCCGCGGGCGCAAATGGAGGGGCGCCGTGGCACCTTTCGGCTGCGGCCGTGAGGAATGCCGGCCGCCCAAACCACACACAGCTGCTGCGCACGCAGGCGGCGAGACCAAAGGATGCAGACCCACTGAAAGATAAGGCTGGGGTCTGGGCCGAAAAGCAGGCGCGCAACCTCTCATGATAAGGCTGCGGCGCCGGGCGCGCACGCGCGACCGCGCATGCCTCAGGCCCCAGCAAATAGGAGGGGCCCGCTGCTGCGATCTACCCCGAAAGCCCGGGGCTTGCACCGGGGGCTGGGGGAGGGACGCCGGCGGCGAGTGGGTCGCGCTCGCAGGCTCCAGCGGCGCTCAGCGCCCAACTCACTCTCAAACCAAAGGCTGCTGGCTGCTGGCGGCTCCCGGGCCTGGATAAAGGCACCATCACAGCAGCCAACGTCTCGTGACCGCATCAGGCTCGCCGAGGACGCCTCGCTCAGGCGCCCGCGGCAGTCCGGCACGGTCCGAGGTTGCCTCGTTCAACAGATCGTACGATAATCACACCGGGTCACGCCCTCGCTCAGTAGATCCTGTCCAAGACGTAGTCGACCATGAGCTCGAGCGACCGCCGCGCGCGGCTGGCGGGCAGCACAGCCAGCGCGGCGAGCGCCTTGTCCGCCTCCTCGCGCGCCAGCCGCCGCGCGGCCTCGACGCCGCCGGCCGAGGTTACCAGATCGATCGCGCGCTGCAGGTCACCCTCCTCGGAAAACTCCGACTCGATGAGCTCGGCCTGCGCGGGGCACGAGGCGGTTGCCGTGTGGATGAGGTGAGATCAAATCGGGCACATGTACCCACGCCCCTTGAGTGTGTGCAGGGGAGCAACCGCGTGGTGATAGGGATGCCCGGGGGCACCGCGAAGGGTCCTGCGTGGCCATGCCTGGCACATGTGCCGCCGAGCAGCCGCGGCTTTGCCACACCAGGACGCAGACAGCGCCGATGCACAAGCGCGCCCGACCCCTGGCAAACCAACCACACTCGCGACGCGGCCCAGCCGCGCCGCCGCCCGGCCCTCCCTTTGGGACCGTGGGCAGGGCAGCAGGGGACTGGGATTGCGAACACCCTGTGCGGCGCACCAGCTCTGGCGACTGCCGCAGCGCGAAGATGGCGGGCGCCGTGAGGTTCCCGCTGGCCAGGTCCTGGCCCTGCGGCTTGCCCAGCTGCTCCGCGGTCTGGGTGAAGTCCAGGATGTCATCCACCACCTGGGATGACGCAAGGATTTGGGGGGGCCACGGTTGCATTGTTGTCAAGTCAGGTGGGAGTGGGGCGGTGGCCCAAGGGGCGTGTGCGATTTGAGCGCGTCCGGCGCCCGGGGCATGCATGAGCGTGCATGCGCGTGGCGGCTGCGGCTCTCACAGCACTGGCAACCCCCAGGGTACGGCGGATGGCGCTGGCAGCTGTGGTAGCCGGCTGTTAGGGCGCACCAGCCCCGACAGGGAACTGCCAACGACAACTGAACCAGTTGCTTGCTCTGAATCAGGACTCACGGCATCCCTTGCCAAACTGCTGGCCGACAGGTCAACTCTATGGATAGCGAGCCCCCCACAAAGCCAATAAGAAGAGCTGCAGCCCACCTGGAACGCGAGGCCGAGGTGCTTGCCGTAGGCGAACATGGCCTCCTTGGTGGCCTCGTCGGCGCCGCTGAACACGGCGCTGCTGCGGCAGCTGGCGGCGATGAGGGACGCGGTCTGGGGGCAGGGGGTGGGGCAGGGGTGTGGGCGGCGCACGGGTGGTTGAGGAGCGGGGACGGGGGCTGAGGCCTCCGTGCCGGCGACCATAGGGTGTGGGTATCGGGGTAAAGAAGCCAGGACGTTCAACCACCAACACAAAATGGGCGGCTGCATGTGGAGGAAGCACAACGCCGTGCGGCATGCGGAAGGTCGCCCAGGTAGGGCCGAGCAGCTGAGAGGGCTGCCCTTGCAGTCGACGCCCGGCCGGCAGCAGCGGGAGCAGGGTCGTAATGATCAAAGTGCAGGGAAGCTGCTGCCGCCCCGCGTGAAGCTGCTGCCGCACCTTGTAGAAGCTCTTGTCGAGGTACGTGTCCAGCGTGATCTCGGTGTCAAAGAGCGACGCGGCCTGGCTGATCTCACCGTTGGCAAAGTCGGCGATTACCTGTGGGGGGCGGTCGAGGGCGGTTAGGGGCGGTTGGGAGTGGGTTGGGGATGTGGTTTTTGCAGGGTGGAGCTGCGTTTGCTGAGCGGAGCCCCAGCAACCACGGCAAGAGCCTCCAACCCCGTTCGTGTGCATAGTCTAGTGCCTGCCATGATCTTTGCCACCAAAGCAGCCCGCCTGAACCCTGAGCTCCAACCGTCGATCCCTTGTGTTCACGCCCCTTGCAAGAGGGTGCAAAGAACCTAGGTGCAGCCCCGATCTCAAACCCGCTCTTGAGCCAGGCAAACACCTAAAAAGTAACCCCCACCTGGCTGATGAGCTTGATGACCTCCAGGTTGTCCAGGTTGGCGAGGTACCAGGAAGACTGGGCAAACAGGAAGTCACCCACCAGCACCGCCACCTTGGTCCCGAAAACACTGTTCACTGTCTCCTTGCCTGGGGGGTGGGGTTGGGGGAGAGGGGGTGGTCGGTTGATGGGGGAGGGGGCCTAGGGTGCCAGGGTCGAGGGGCGCCAGCAGGGGTTGGGGAGTCTGCAAGGACCACTCAAGCCCAGTCACCAGGAGACACTGCACAGGTGGACATGTGCGTCTTCACATGCCGTCAGACGTGCGCCAGCACAATTCCCATGCCCACAAAGCAATGGATGTTGCTTGCCACACGCCAGAACACGTGCTGCAGGCCCCGAATGTATGCATGCATGCAGCCTGCGAAGCATCGCTTCATGCTATCAGCTCGCCAGGCAAATCAACATGCACCACCACCCTCTGTGAACAAGGCTGCCTTTTCAATCAGGAAACCACACACAAACATCCACACACCGGCTCTTTCTCTCTCAACCACGCGCGTGCACACATGCACACAAGTGCGCTCGCGCCGCGCGTGCATGCCACCCACCCCTCCTGGTGTCGGCCTCGTCCAGCACGTCGTCGTGAACCAGGCTGGCGGTGTGGATCATCTCGATGATTTCGGCCAGGCGGCGCTGGTTGGGCACGATATCTCTGTGGTGCACAGCATTCGGTGGGTGTTGAGTGGTGTGCTTGGGTGAGGGTTGACCAACAAGCTGGGGTGTGGACAGGAGGGGTGCAGGTCTGCGATTGTGCAAAAGGGGGAGGGTTGTTTGGTTAAGGGTGGCAATGCCACCGGCGGCCAAAGACTGCGGTTGCGGCGGGCAGTCCGGGGCCCCGGGCTGCTGGCTGAGTCAGTGGCTGCAGACTGCTGACAGGGCCCCTCGGCCGCATGGACGCGCGAGGCAGGCTGCACTGCACATGCACACGCTGCCAACGCACGTTGGTGTGTCCCCGAGGCATGCGCAAGGCCTGGAGCGGGTTCGAGGCACACGCTGATGTGGCGCCGCGCAGGCCAGGGGCGGGCCGGCGGCGGGCCCGCCGCCACATGGCGCGGCAGGCCCATGGCGACGCGCTCACGTGAGGCCGCCCAGCTCGGCGGTGGCGCGCGCCATGAGCAGCACGATCATGGGGCGCAGCTTCTTGCCGCCCGCCCCGAAGATCTGGTCGGCGGCGGCAAGGAGCATGGGGTGTCGGTCGCCGACAATGGCCCGCAGGTTGGCGTTCAGCACGCGCATGTCCTCCTCAACGGGCGCCACGATCTCCTGCAGCAGCTGCGCCGGCGTCGGGCGCTGCAGGGACGGCAGCTGCTGCGGCGCGCCGGCGGCGGGGCGCGGCGCGCGGGCGGCGGCGTCCGTGGGCGCGTCGGGCGCGGCGACGCGCGTTGGCGTCGCCACTCGTTGGCGGCGCTGCTGGTGGCGGCGAGCGGCGGCATGCTGGCAGGGTGCAGGCAACCCGTTCAGCATCTTATGCGAGCTAGTTTGGCCGCGACTGGAGGCACACACGCGCTGCTGCCCGGCTTGAAGCATTTTGGCCGCGGGTGGTCGATCGAGGACAAATTATGAGGGTAGCAGGAAAAAACACGAGTACGAGTGAGTAGCACACAATTGAAAGGTGTGGGTGGGGGGAAACAAAGATATTTTATGTCAGGGGGAGCTCCTTGTGCCCCAGTGGTGCCCCAGCAGCACCACTGGGCTTGCGTACAGTGCCCCCTCCCTTGCCCTGGAAGCTCCCAGGTCGCCATATGCAAAGCAAACCCAAGTTTATTACCGTGCCGTGCTCTTCATGCCACGCCTTGGGTTGGCCCGCCGTTGCCGGCGCCACACGCACAGCGTGCATGGCACGTGTGGACGGCCAAGTGCCGAGGCCCCGAAGCAACGGCAACCTCAGAGGGTCCTGCAAGTACAAGAACCTACCTTGAAGACAAAGCGTAGGAGTATCTAGCACGTGGTGCCATGCGTGTGGCACAGCATCGCACAGGCGAGGCAGTTGGCGCCAACACCCGAGAAGGAAACCGCATCAAAAGCGGCTGACGCAGTCGTGTCGAGCCACCGCGACACCACGTACACCAGAAAATTAACTCGTCAATTATAACCACTAGCTTTCGGTCTTCAAAGGCTTCGCGCTGTATTTTTCGTGATCAACCCCGCTGGTCTATGCTCCGCCGCGGCCTTGGCCATCTGTTTAAAGAAACCGTGTTGCTTAAGATGCAGGGACTCCACACCCGGAGCTCGGTGCTCCGCGCGCAGCCATGCAATTGCATTGTCCCGAGGCTGAACCATTCCAGGAGCTTCAGGTGCGCGTGATGAATGCGAATCGCATATGTAGACGCATTATAAAAGCAATTGCGCCCAGGGCCGCCAGCAATGGTGCCACTGCTCTGTTGCACGGCAACAGCAGGCGGCGCCGCATCGCACCCAGCACGAACCGGTGCCCAGGCAGCATTCGGCGGCAGGCGCCTGACGCGCCCGGCAAACGCGCACGCGCCTGCCACACACCTGCAGGTCCTCCACCATCCTTAGCGCCCTCCAGGCCGGCATCGTCGGTCTTCCGAATGTCGGAAAGGTCCGGGCAGATCGACCGGGCAAGGGGTGGGAGGGGCGCAGCCACGGGCGCAACAGGGGTTAATGCAGCCATGCAGTGGGGTAAGGGGCCGCAGCCAGGCGTGGGGTTGGGCTCGCGGCCGTGCATGGGGCGATCGGTCACGGCCAGGCGGGCTCGCTCCAGGGCAGTGGCCGGTGGCGGCGTGGCGGAGATGTTGCTGCTGGTTGCTCTTCGAGTCCCATGGCTCAGTTTTTTTGTGCAGGAGCAATCGCCGCGGACCTGCGCCCCCCCAGCAGCCCAACAGAACCACGCAGCAAGCAGCACCGCACGATGCAGCCGCGTGGCATCGCGCGGCACTACGCGCCCTCTCGCCCCTGGAGACGCGGTCGTCGACGCACACAAATCCGATTCGGATTCTCCCTCACAAGCACATGCAACGCACACGCACACGCACATGCACATGCACACGCACGCGCACACGCACACGCACACACATCCGGGACGCAGTCCACGCTGTTCAACGCGATCGTGGAGAATGGCAAGGCAGCTGCCGCCAACTTCCCGTTCTGCACCATCGAGCCCAACGTGGGCATGGTGACCGTCCCAGACGAGCGCCTGGCGAAGCTCTCCAGCATCAGCGGCAGCAAGGAGATCGTGAGTTGGAAGTCAGGGCGACAGGGGCGGGCGCGGGCGCCTTGATGACAGCGATTGCGGCGATGGCAGCTCTCAGCCCCCTTTCCGAAAGGCAGCTGCTCAGCCCTGTCTAGGTTGCCATACCCCGTCGACCCCTGCATAAACCAGCACTCGCCCCATCTGACCCACCCACCCAAATCCCACCTTCGCGGCAGCTGCCCACCACTGTGGAGTTTGTGGACATTGCTGGCCTGGTGCGCGGTGCCTCGAAGGGCGAGGGCCTGGGCAACAAGTTCCTGGCCAATATCAGGGAGACCGACGCCATCTGCCAGGTGCGCACGTGCACTTGTTTGTGTGTGTGGTGTGTGTGCGTGTGTGTGTGTGTGTGTGTGTGTGTGCGTGCATGCGCGCGTGCATGCGCGCGCACGCACGCGCATGCTCTTTTGTATGTATGGGCTGTGTCACCTGTGCAGCACGGTCATGAATGGGTGGGTTGCCAGCGCCTCTGGCCGCAACGCCCCGCTCGCGCTCCTCGGCGGTCGCATTGGCATTTGGTCGTGACGGGCCTTGTCAGTGCTTCGCAACGCCCTTACCAGGCGGTTGCCTTGTGGCAAACCCACGTGATGGTCAAGTCTATTGACAAATCAACTTTCCGCGCCCTCAGGTTGTGCGCTGCTTTGAGGATGATGACATCATTCATGTCTCTGGCAAGGTGCGCGTCTTCACATCATCAGGAGTATTGGAGACGAGCAGGGCTGTTTTTGAGCAACCATCACCAGGCAGCAGAGCGGCACGTCTGATATTTACTGTATTGCTTGTGTTGGGTTTGCACCTGGCCGGCTTGGCTGGTGCGGCACAGCACGGCCACAGGCAGGCAAAGCTTCTAAGCACCTCGCTCCCCAGCATGCTGAGTACTCCGCATGGTCAGCCACGCGCACGAACAAACGTGCACAGTGGCACATGTTGGCCACGGCACCCCACCCCACCCCAGCAACATGCGTGACATAATGTCCATCACTAACACCCCCTCCCCCCCCCCCGCCAGGTTGACCCCCTGGATGACATCGACGTCATCAACCTCGAGCTGGCTTTTGCTGACATGGCGCAGATAGAGAAGCGGCTGGAGCGCCTCACAAAGGGTGGGCGCGGCGGCAGCGATGCACCTGCCTGACAGCCCGATGGGGTGGCCCGTGCTGCTTGCAGCGCCCCGTTCTCTGACGTGCAGCGCGGCTGCTGCCAAGCGTGGCTGGACAAACGGCGTCGTCGGTCACAAATTCATGTTTTGTACCGTCGCTGCGTTCACAAAATGTTGGGAGCAAGTCGCTATTAACCAGCTCTGTGGGACAGCTTGCCGGCGTGCCGTATCACCTATCTTGTCTGCCAAAACGTGTGCCCAGGCAAGAAGTCCCCTGAGGAAGCTGCCAAGGCGGCCATCGAGAAGGACGCCCTCGACAAGATCGTGGTCGAGGTGCGCAGTAGGGGGCCGGTCCGCTCATGAGCTTTGACCAGGTTGACCAGTGTTGACCATGTTTAACTGTGCTTGACCTTTGAGGGTGTGCTGCATTGGTGCCTAGCTGTGCTTAGTTGCTGTTATTTGAGCTATCAGCCCAACTCTCTCCCGCTGGGGTGGCCGGTACACCCCCCGCTCCTGCATCGCGCGCACTCACACCCACCAAGCGCCAAAAACGCATGTCGCCCCATGGGCGCAGATCGAGGCCGGCCGCGGCGCGCGCAAGGCGGTGCTGAACGCTGACGAGCTGCTGGCGATCAAGAACCTCGGACTGCTCACCCTGAAGCCCCTGATCTACGCGGCCAACGTGTCCGAGGATGATCTGGGCAACCAGGGGGCCAACAACGTGCACGTGCAGGCGCTGCGGAAGCGCGCGGCAGAGGAGGGGGCGGAGGTGGTCGTCGTCAGCGCAAAGGTGCGGGATTGCTCCAGGAGGGAGGGAGGGGAGGGGAGGGGACGGGTGGGGAGGTGAGCGCAGGGCTCGATTGGAGTCTCTCGCCCTGCTGCACGCTGGGGACTGCGCCTGCGGCCTCGTGCGGTCGTCCGGCTCGGGACCGCCTGCGTGTTGGGCAGTGGGGCCCACTGCCGCTGAGCAGAGTGGTGTTTGGGCAGGCGGTAGCCCACATAGTAGCCCTATTATTTAGCGTTGTTATATATGTTCATATACACAAATTTTATATACATACAAGTTCACATATAGTGTACGACATACTAACCTATCTATACGAGTATGTACCGTAGTGTATGATGTATTGACCTGGTCCTCGGACCACCCCCCCCCAAAGGTGGAGTCCGAGCTCAATGACATGCCCGAAGAGGAGGCCAAGGAGTGGCTGGACATGCTGGGGGTGACTGACGGCGGCCTGGAGAACCTGGTGCGCGCCACATACAGGACGCTGGGGCTGCAGACATACTTCACCACGGGTGGGTGGGGGGTGGGGG